TATATTTAATTTTAATAATATTGTAATCATCTAGTTAATATATAATAATTATATTACAAAAATATTTAGCAAAAAACCAAGTTTCTGCAAAGAAGATCCAATTCATAAATGGTGTACACATATTAATTCCTTGTTGCAGTCCAAAGTTAGTGGTGCAAAATGGGCTGGGGTTTCTTTTGTGAAAATTTCTATCCAACAATCTGAGACTTTGCTCACAGTTAGTTATTGTTAAAGAAAAGACTTCTGTTCTTTATTCAGTTATTAATCTCCATGTTATTCTCAGCGACCGGAATCAATTCTTATTTTGTCCGATGTCATTTTGACACTTTCTAATATGTTTGGAAAAACAATTAACAAACCAGAGTTACAAAGGGAGGTAACTTCACACCAACTTCCTCGTTTTAATACGACTCTCTTAAATCTATCTGAAAATAAAGAACTTTTGGTAAATATTATCTGTTAACTGAAAAAAATTTATATAGTCACATCACTTTAACTTTTTAATTTTTTCCTTACAGCCCACAATATTTGATGCATTATCCCAGTCATGCATGCAGTTTCCAACTATTTTTCGTCCATTTTTTGAAAATACACAAAAATTGTGTCTTAGTGTCCTGATGGAATATTTGATCATGGATCTAATTGTCTTGCGAGTATAACAAATACAGGTGGCAAAACAAACTCATTTGCTCATTGGAAATCAATTTCATTAAGATTAATTGGATCATTAAATTTCCTGTTGAATCGATTATTTGATACGATTAATGAAGGTGCGAATGAAAAATATTTTAATATTTTCGACTTATGCTATTTACTGGCTTTGATTATAAATGTTAGAAAAGCATGCATCAAATAATCAGCCTCAATTTGAATTCCTGAAGATTACATTATTGCCTTTCCAATTTTGTTTTCGAGGTTCCAATGTTTGTGTGAATGTATTATCTCCTTAGTGAGGTACGAACAATCAAGAATAACAATGTCATTGTCTGCAAGTTCTTAATATAAAGCTATTATAGTTTGCCGACATCTACACCAGTTCATGTTCCAATGAATCAGTTCCTTGATCTCCTCTGCAGAGTATATAATGTTTGCGATGGTTCATTTGCAAGTGTTTATTTCTATAATTTAAAATCAGATATAGACTTTAATTTGCCCCAGGGTGATTTCACCTATTTTCTCTATTTTTCAAAAATGGCCTAGATAATTGGTGTCTTATGTAATAAGTAAAAAAATGTTCAGCATCTGAAAAACCCTTATCCTAACTAAAATCTAATTCTAATCTTATAATTCTATAAAAATCATATATAGAAGTGACATTACCCGGGGGCAAATTAGTTTTAATAGGCACAATATAATCTATGTAAAATATTGCCTTTTTTGGACAGATTGTAAACAAAGATAAAGAGGAATTTTATATGCTTATACTTAGGGATGGCAAATGTTTTAAAACGTGATCTTAAAAATCATGTTTGTTTGATTTAAATATGTTAAAAATTGTTTTAATACATTATGACGTAATTTGATCTGATTGCGTAATTCAGTATTTATGATTACTAACATTCAAAAAAAAAAAAAATCAAAAATTCTTCAAAGCAATGTTTCATGTTCGTGGGGACACCTTTAAAAGAAATCGTTTAGATTTTGCAAAAGTTGCTGAATCTAATAAACACGGTAGAAAAACGTCGTGTCAAAAATGCAATTATTGTGAAGACTGTTGATTCAGTTGATCGATTAAAAAACTTCCAAG